ACGGGTGTCTTCTACTCTTAAAGGCCATGTTTCGCTGCCGTAAATTAAAACAGAACGGACTGCCGCGCAGTATACTCGTCCTTTTATTGATAGACGGATATCTCGCCTTCGCCAAAGGTGACGTAAGTTGGCAAAAGCCAAACGAGCTTTCGAATCCGTGCTGAGATTTCGTCAGACACCAACCCATTAGGGCTGATCAGACTTCCAAGATAAGTGAAGTTGTCAACGCGTTCGACTACTTCACTCCCTATCCTTAGTTCAGGTGTTGACGCAGACCAGTCCTGAAGCAACAACTTGCATTTAGAGGGAGAGAAGCGCATTCCAAACATTCTGGCATTGTTGCTTAGTGCTACCAGAAGACTCTGCATTTTGTCAGCGTCTTCACCAAACAGGACTATGTCATCTGCGTATTCTAAGTCGATAAGTGGACCTCCTGGAAGGAGATCAATACCCGAGAATTCAGTCGACGAGAGTGTTATTTCCATCAATAGGTCTATGATGAAGTTAAACAAAAATGGAGAAAGTGGACAGCCTTGACGGACACCACTTGAGGTTGCAAAAGTAGATGACAGTTCGCCATAAGCTCTGACTCGACTAGTAGTGTTCGAGTAAAGAGCCTTCACAAGGTTTATGTACTTCTGAGGTACGCCTTTCAATGACAGACACTGCCACAGAATCTCGCGGTCTACAGAGTCAAATGCTGCTTTTAAGTCAAGAAAGACCACCATCGTCGGACGCCGATAAGTATGCCTGTGTTCTAGAACCTGACGAATGGTGAATATGTGGTCGATGCAGCCACGACCAGGTCTAAAGCCAGCTTGGTTCTCTCGTGTTTGTAGTTCACGAGTCTTAGTTAGGCGTCTGATAATTATCGAGGCCAGTATTTTAGATACTGTATTAGTTAAACTAATCCCTCTGTGGTTGTCACAGGATGATTTTGACCCTTTCTTATATATTGGGACGATAAGTGATTGCGACCAGTCAGATGGGATAACGTCTAACTCCCAGATCTTAGCTAAAATATTAGTCAACCTAATCGCTAAAATTGGACCACCATCCTTAAAGACTTCTGGAGCCAATCCATCTGGACCAGCTGCCCTTCCTCGTTTCAGATTAACTATAGCCTTTTGAACTTCAGCAAGAGTTGGGGGACCTACTTCAATGTTCCATTCACACTGTCTGGGAATGGAGGGTAGTTGTAGAGTAGCTGAAGGCCAGCTGAACTGTTCTCTAAAATGTTCCGCCCATCGTTCTAAACGTCTGGACTGGGAGCAGATGAGAGTATTTCTTTTTCCGAAATAATCTCACTTACACTTGACTTATTAATTCCAGTTTCTTTTATTAGTCTGTAAAGCTGTCTTGTGTTCCCTATAGTCGCCGCCTTTTCCATCTCTTTTGCTTTCGTTGCCCACCACTGCTCACGGTCGTTCCTTAGACTTTTTCTTAACCTAGATCTGATTTGTTGTCGCTCTTCATCATGTTCAGAACCTGATGGGACGAGTTTGCGAGAATCCATCAGTGTGACAGACCTTGAAGAAATCCACTGGTTCCTTGTAACTCTGTGGTTTAAGTCACTAATAGATGTCACTGCTGTTTCCACAGCTGCTTGTATATCCTTCCAAGCAACATCTGGGTCAGCCTCGTCTTCACAACTACCTAAGTGTGACCTCAGTTGTTCCTGGAACCTACTTTTGGTTTTCTCGTTACTCAACTCAGTTCTAATGGGTCTTTTTAATGTGGCTTTTTTGCGTCCAGTGAGGCGCAAGCAGATGCGTGCCCGTATTAGGGCATGGTCGGAGTCCAAGCAGGTACTCCAGAATGAGCGACAATCTTCTACCGACCCTCTCCAACGATGACTGATGGCAATATGGTCTATTTGAGTCCATCGTTGGTTTGGTGTAGGGGGTCGCCATGTTAGACGATGTCTCTCCTTATGCTTAAAATTTGTGTTTGCTAAAAATAAACGATTGTCTGAGCATAGCTGCAGCAGACGATCACCATTATCTGTTCGCTGTGTCGGAATACTAAAATATCCACCTAAATGCCTTTCTGTTTGGTTTAAACTACCTATCTGAGCATTAAAATCACCTGCTACGAGTACTATGTCTGAGCGTTTAGCTTTCTGAAGAAGTTCGGATAGCTTTCTGTAAAATTCATCTTTCACTTCATCTGAGCTGCAGTCAGTGGGAGCGTAGGCAGAAACGACAAAAAGGCAACGACGTGTGTCCCTATCCTTCCGAGTTCTTACGTAGCCGTTCAGCCGAACAGCACATAGACGACTGTTGACGGGGATCCACTCTAGCAGTGCTTGTTCGGCCCTCATGCTTAGTGCTATGCCTACACCTGCCAGTCCACGAGAACTGGCCATCGGGTCACCAGATACACGAAGGGTGTATCTCGTTGGCTCTCCGTTTGCCGAGGTGAGGTCAAGTGAATGACCACACTGGAATCCTGTATGCGTGTTTCGGAGACACAGCATACATCAATGGAAAGAGACTCTAGGGTTTTAGCCAAGGAAGCCTGCTGACCGATTTGACATAGGGTGCGTACGTTGAAGGCTCCAATGTGTAGTTTGGAGCGAGGTTTCAGTAGACCTGGGACAGTTTTGAGCACTAGAATCGTTGGCTATGGTGACACTTGAGGAGGAAGCCGAAGAGGAAGTTTAGAGTTGAAAGTCGATGTAGGAGGAATAATAGGAATTGAAGAGGAGGTTGATTATGAATACAGTGGTCTTGAGTGCTGTTAGAGGTATGAGGGCGGTTATCACTTCCCGGTTGCCCACACCGTGGAAGGGTTCTTCTGGAGGTACCTGAAAAGGAAATTGGATTAGAGGTGGTCTTAGTGACCTGAGAGCGTGACCGCAGTGCCCAAGGGACAACTGCTTGAGGTCGGTCACACACGACCTTTTATGGGTAATTTTTGTGTTAGCTCCGTACTTATTGAGACCTTACCGCCGGAGACGGATATCCGTGGGATAAGGCGAGGTGTGCATTTTTAGGGTCGACCTTTTCTAACCCCACCCCTCCTTGTGGGAAGGCAGCATCGCTGTCATGCTGGTTGTCTGAAGGAAACACCTTACTGCTGTCACACCTCTGTACAGTCAGCAGTACGACTTCGCCTTCGGACCTTGGGTTTGTTGCTTTTAGTCTTACCGCTCTTCAACCGACCTGTCTGACATGGTAGGACCTTGAGGAACGGTTGTTCCAGCCAGTATAGCTCGGTTGCTTCATCACGATAGGCAAGCCCGACCACCACGTCAAGGTAGCAACAACAGTCGGGCCCGACCATAGTTGCTACCTTGACGTGGTGGTCGGGCTTGCCTATCATGATGAAGCAACCGAGCTATATCGACTAAAATACTCACTCCTTTAGGTCCTACCGTGCCAGGTGGATTGGCTTTAGAACGATAATTCTCATAAAGAAAGGAAGCTTTTTCCCTACTCCCTCGGACGGTTTATGAACTCGACCAGTCCGACGAAATTACTCCCTGTTCCGAAACTCTAAGCATTGTATCAACCAACCCAACTGAAAGTCCTAGACCACCATTCTTAAAAAATCTGGAGTTACACTATCAGTGTTTGTTACTCTAGTGTTTTCGATTTCGCTTTAGTTCGGAGGCCCAATGTAAGACTTGTACACTGGTTTTAGTGGTTATGTGAATAGGTTACATTTTTTCTGCTCCCAAATGCCCTGGTACGACCGAAGGTGAGACGAGTTCACTCTCCCTTTCGAAATGCGCCCATATGGCAACGTGTTTAAAACCACTCCGAAGGAGAGTCCTGTTCACAACGGGTTTTGTTACGAAAGTGAAAGGATGAAAAATGGACATCCACGGTTCAAACTTAGTTGGTACATATGAGGATTTATCTAGGGGAGTTGACAAACCATTGTTTGGAACCAATGGTGCGCATACGCTCCAAGATCGCGAGGAGATGAAAGACCCACAAACATATCTTTGATTCCCGGCTACCAGGGGAGTGCGTTTTCCGACGTTTCTTTGCCGTACTATGGATTAGTTCTGTCCTCTCTAGCCGGTACCGGTTGAGCCACCTGACGAGGTGGAGGCCCTCGAGAAAGTCCGAATCCTGAACCACCAAAAGTCACCAGGTCCACATGACTTACCCGCAGCTCTTTCTAACAATGGTAGCAACCTTCCGGTCAGAGAACTGACTAGGTTGTTTGAGAAACGATGTATTCCATCATCTTGACGCGATTGTCGTTGTCATCTTTAAAAATGATCTGTCATCTATGCAACAACTATTCGGGGTAAACTCTACTTCCGATTACGTCCAAACTATTGACTGGTATATGTCGATCTATTAGGACTCTCTGGTTAGGGTCCGATAGATGGTGTAACTCAGTGGCTTGAGACATTATCAGACATGGAACAGAATAAAATCCAATGGCGATCTTGTTGTAAGGCTCTTTAACTATTAGAAGAGAGAACTTCCTTGACTGAAAGGATTCTTTCTGGTTCCATTTTTCTTAACTGAGCTCCTTTTTCTGTTATATACTGCTCTTGTTCGCTTATGTATTTAGATTATACTTAGCCTCCGTCCTCCACCTCTTCACAATCTCTTTTTTTGGATGTTTTTATCTTGGTACCCATTTCTACCAGTTTTTAGGTATGTTAATTAAATACTTTTAAAAATGTAATTTATTTTGCCGTTCGTTATAGACTCTCTTTGTTAACCTAAAAAATGTTTCAGTTATATCCAGCCAGACATTTAGGCATATTAAAGCACGTAACACCTGAATTCTCTTACCTGCCGTGTAAGAAAAACCGTATGCCTTTATTTTTGTAAATATTATATCTTGCTGCTATAAAGTTTAGGTTTGTTCCAGTCCCTAACTTGTCTTTAACCATCTAATTGTTTTTGCTATCGTTATTATTCGCATTGTTTCTATACATTTCACATTTTGCATACATGATTCCACATTTTTTTAGCTCCCTTTTATCCTCTGCATTATATTTTTTCCGGTATTATCTTATTATTAGTATGATTTCTACTGCATCCTCTGCCACCATAAATACAAATACCAGTGATCGAGATTGTAAAATTGGTCAGCTGCAATATCAGCAACAACAGTTGCTCCGTCAAAGTACTCCTTACAATTTCAGTTCTTGGGATTGGAATGCTGTGAATATCATGAATAATAATAATAATAATAACAATAATAATAATAATAATAATAATAATAATAATAACGTTGTTAACGGGACTCAACAACCAATTTGCAAACCTTTGTTTCCTGAAAATGACGTCATGAAGATGATCAATTTTATAAAACGTAAGGCGATCATTTTTTGTTCTTCTAGTTAACCCTTTATTTTTTATATTTCAAATAGAATGTTTGAATGAATCGACTAAATGCCTATTTAAGCGCTATTCTAATGATAACTGGCAAGATTTGTCAGTGTTCACAATATGTAATGCCCGTGAACTGCACATATAAATCACTGGAAGAAAAGTATGCAGAACAACAAAGTTATCTCTATGTCTCATCAACGTAGTATTTATAACGTAATTTTCTTTCCTTAGTCAACCTGGTAAGTGGAAAATATTTCAAAACTATCAACTTAACAATACAGTCTCAGAGTTGTCACTCGCATTCTATCAGCTGTAAGCTACCTTAGGTCTAATGTCTTTACTATCAATGAAAACAAATCATAACTTAGAACCTTACATGGTTTACTACTCGCTAGCCTAATAAACATATAGTGACGCAGAAATTTTCGTTTGACGATTAAAACTTGTTTTTGGTCGTACTCAATACCAACTACACCAGTTTAAAACAACTAACAAAGATAGGTATGAAGCATGATCTACATAGGGGGATATACTAGTGAATAACCATGCAATGTCAAGGTAATCGGTAAACAAACATTTTCCTAGTGTAAGGGATATCGGTAAATGATTTACTCGATATTCTTCGGTGAAGAGGTTGAATTCTTCTGACGTCTTGTCAATCTTATGGTCGACGATTATGTTTTAAGAGGCTCAGTTAGTCAAATGTATTATAAAGAAAATTTTATTGTTAATTTCTAAACGATTATTTTATTCATTTAATTTAAATAATCTAATTGGAACATTCTTCCATTGTTATCATTTCATTCTTGGAGATGTGAAGTGGCTATTATTTGAGTTTTATCCGTGGAGTAATATTAAATGTACCATCATATGTACTGTTTAGAGGTCTAAGTTTTGCTCCACTTTGTACTGGCTGTTACCTTTGGCACTTGAATTTAGCGTCTTATCGAAAAAGCTCAGTTTAATCATTGTTTTTAGACTTTTTAACCATCTTAATAAAATCCGAAAAATTGAATTTAGCCATCCAAACTATTACGTAAACTTGGTCTATCATTATTGTTATGATGATGATCATTTTCTTAAGTTTATTTTAATGTGATTTCTTTTTGTCCGATTAATATTACGGTAATTTATTTGATATTCCTCCATATTATAACTTTCGCTCCATAAATCATTTCAGTGTAGTTACTTAAAGTCCCATTCTCTCCTGAAGCATTAATTGCTGCATTCATTCATTCGCATATCGAAATTTTTATGTTTGCTTTCGGTAAAATGATATGTGCTAAGTTGTATTAGATTCCAAAAAAGGTTAGGGGTTTTTGTGGTTACGTAATTCACAGTCGATCTATCTTCGTTTATGTCGGATTCTACATTGTTTATGAGTGACTATCTGAAGGTCTGTGATACTGACCAACAAACAAAACCTAAACAATTGGAGGAGTAAAAGAATTTATTGCTTATAACTCTCCGTTGAATGTCGGGTGTGTAAACCAATTAGCTACATTACATGATTACTTTATAATCAATTCATATAGACTTATTACAGGTTTGTTTTTTACATATCAGTGTTTGTTTAAACTCATCTTTCTTGATTTTAGAGGAAAATTATGCTCCTACAATGATTAATTCAGCCAGCTTCAGTCATGAAAATAATAATAAACAAGGGTTTGTACGGGAAACTCAACCGTCATTGGATAAATTAATTGAAATGGGCTATCCAAATCAGCATTGCCCTTATCCTTTAGATCATTTACATTCACAATTTCAATTCAGTCAAAGTAGATGCTCATCAACTACAACACGATGTAAGTAGATTTTATATATGGGACAAAATGAGACTTCAGTTTTTATAGCCTTTCTAGACAATATCATCAACACAGACTTCAGAAACAAGTGTTTTTTTAGAGATATTTTTCCACAGGTAGCTGCTAATAGTTTATCCTGTAGACATAAGTTGTAACTGAATATTACCGGTAGTCTCATAGTTATCGTCAGTCAGTTACAAGTAATGCGATAATCTGGTAGAATTATACATCAACACAAATTGTTGTACTGCATCAACACAGCAAGATGAAACCAAGAGTATGTAGTGTCAGTCATTATTTTAAGCCCATATATCTTATTCTAGCTTTCGGACATTCCATTCTATTCACTCTACTTGAGTCATATTTTGACCTTGCCAATTATTCGCTTATCAGTCTTGACTGTTTTTATATGGGCGTATACGTGTGTGCCCTTCTTATCCTATTAATCACATGTCTGTAGCTTAATTTTGTCTGACTATAAATATTGAGTGACGCTTGACTAAAATGGAGTTGGCTTCCCAGCCATCTTCCGCGCGTGTCATTTTGCCTTGCTCTGTTTCATTCGCTTCATGTACAAAATATATGTATTTACAAGTCAATTCTCGTTATTCGACTTATTTAATTCCGTTATTGACTAACGTGATTCAAGTCGATGATGATATACGAGAATAGGTGATAGCAAACATTCGTACGATCTTGGAGTCAGATCCACGGGCTACTAAAGTGGTGAGCCCTTCAACGAATATCGTCGATCTAAATGAGGACAAAATCAAACTACGGGCCTCCACAAGTAGCAGTGATGGTAAAAAAGGACTAGATAATGAAAATGTGATTCAGTTAGAAAGAATCGATTCCCTTTATAAAAGATTCAAAGTAATTTCGAAATTGAAGATATATAGGTATTTAAATTTGATGTTGTTAAAACGAGTTATCAGACAACTCGAGGTAAAAAAAATAATGTCAAGTGATTTTTCAAACAAATGTTGTGTAGATAAACAGAGCTCAAATAATAAATCGTTCTTCTGAAAGAATAATGCACCAACACATAAATTCTGTAAATATTCCTACTGAATTTATCATTTTATAGATAAAGAACCAACTGTTCGTAATGAAGAAAATCCTGTTTATTCTGAAGCTGATAATAAAGCAAGCATTCAAGAGGATCCATCATCAATGGATAAGAACAGCAATTGTAAAAGTATGTAAAATTATACTTAACTTTTTTGTTTTAACTGAAGTCTTAATTTATTCACATTTTAATACTAAAATAAATGTTCTTGTTAAATGATATAATTGTGATTATCGAATGAATGACCATTTGTTAATATGATATTTTTCCATGTATTTTTTCAAACAAAATTCAATCTAAAGTATGATTTTTTTGTCGGTTGAGAGGTTTCGTTGAAACCATTTCAATTCGTAGGTAGTTTTCTTCACGGTTTAACGTCAGTTGTGTTATTACTAAAAATCAGCGGGACACTGTACGGCTGTTTCCGTCCCAGTATGCAACTCAATATAGTATGAACCCCATAACCTCATCAGGGATTTGAGTAGACTGGTTTGGTTTGTTTATTCGTAGATAAACAAAGGACCCAATCACTTAGATATATATTATCGACATTATGGCAATTAGCGTTTATTTCTTCGTACTTTATCGGAAATGTTTCGTTGATTAGCTTATTGCTAATCATAAAGTATCTAATCCACTTAGTGATTTCTTGTTTATGATAAATAAACACATGTAATTATACTTACCAATCTACATTTATCCTTTTATATACATACTGTGGTTGACAGTAAAAACAGTTTCAGATGTTCCATCACCTGTTGAGCTTGACGTTAGTTAACACTTTTAAAACTCATTCTGTACGCTTCTTGCCCGTACACCCTTTGATTCTTGGATCTGTGTTATTTGGTTACTGATTTCCACACTTCTTATTGAGTTTACTGTGGTTAAATCTTTAGTGGCCCTTTATCTGACACCATTTGCATCGTAAGAATGATTGTTATGGGAATATGCATGTCGCCAACCCTCATATATTTTCATTGGCTTAAATCGCGTTAGCGAATAACAGAATTAAGTAAGTCAAATACGAGAATGGATTTTAAATACGCATATTTCATACAATCGTTGATCCAGACAGACGATCAGAGAAACGAAACAAAGAAAGCGAAGTGCAACGAAATGATGCGCAGTCAAGATGGCAAGTGAGCCAACTCGATTTAATCAAGCGTTGGTCGATATTTATAGTTGTTGGGGTGATCCAGAAAACTTCTCGCAAAACACAAGAAAGGCTCAGGAAACACTAAGAAGCATTTTATCCGATCAGCGTTCACTTGAAGTTTAGCCAGAAACATCAAGAAAGTGAGAAGTTTCTGATTGGCCGATTACTATACTGCTGCTATGTTTAGTAGCATTCCAGAATTTTCGGGAGAACTACAATGAATATTTCTTTGGAGCAACTAGAAGCTTATATGGAACGTCAAGAGAAGAGGTTTAAACAATCCCAAATCAGAACCATGGAAGCAATGATGCAAAAATTTTGCCTGTTCCAGCAAAACCTTGCTTCTGGTGAATCACAAGTATCATACTGATTCAGTCATTAATGCCATCCATGAATTTAATTTTGATGGTGTGGCAGGTATAACTTTTGGTTCTTGGTTTAAGAAATATGAAGATTTGTTCTATATTGATCTCTGCAGACTGGATGACGCCTCAAAAGTCAGAATACTCCTAAGAAAACTTGGGACTATGGAACATGAACGCTATAGTAACCTCATTCTCCCGAAGAACCCACAAGACTTTAGTTTTGATGAAACAGTTAAAATCCTGTCTCAAATGTTTGGAGAACAGTCATCTCTATTTAATATCCGTTACCAATGCTTGAAGATAACGAAAGAACCAGATGACTGGGTGAAACATGCAGGAATTGTGAGAGTTTCAATTTAAATGTCTAGTATTTGTCTGTAGCCTGCGTTCACCGGAAGATGCTGACATCCGAACGAGAATCCTAAGCAAGCTCGAACACTGTCCCAACATGACCCTGCAGGAAGTAGCTACTGAATGCCAAAGATCAGTGAACTTGAATCATGATACCTCGATGATAGAGAACGGTAACCGTTTCCCTTACGTCAATGCAGTTGAGAGAAAAGTCTCACGAGGTTCCAGCACGCAGAATTATCGTAATGACAGCGACAAACCACCATCCCCGTACTGGTTATGTGGCGGTCGGCATTTCAAAAGGTTTTGTTTGTTTAAAACTCATCGTTGTACTACGTGTTCCAGAAAAGGGCACAAAGAAAGTTATTGCGAAACCCGGAAATGCCGTCAACCAAAAGTGTATTCTAAAAGATGCAAGCGACAAACGGCTAAAGTAACGGTAGCTCTTCACAAAGCCGGCTCTCATAACCGTAGAAAGTATGTTTCTCTCAAGATTAATGGGTATGATACCCGCTCACAGTTAAACGCAGCCTCCGATATAACACTTATAAGCAGGAGAACGTGGGAGAAAATTGGGATGCTGCGAATATGTTCAACTCACCAATCAGCATATAGTGCATCCGGAGGAATTCTAAGTATTACTGGTGAAATTCATTGTGAAGTCACAGTCAAAGAGTTTACGGAGAAAGGTGTAATATTTTTGACAGACCGTCCATCACTCGACTTATTGGGGCTTGATTGGATAGAAAAGTTGAAGTTAATAGACCATCCCATAAACTCGATCTGTAACAACGTCAGTACGTCGAAAGTTGATGAGAAAAACCCAGTGGAAGCATTATTAAAACGACACGAAGTGGTATTTAGTGATGGTCTTGGAGAATGCACTAAATTTAAAGCTGTTCTTACCCTTCGACAGGGATCAAGACCGGTGTTTCGACCAAAAAGACCCGTATCATATTCTGGTTGTCATTGAACTGGTGAATTTCTCAGAATGGGCCGCATTGATAGTAGTAGTAGAGAAGACTAATGGTAGCGTCCGTTTATGTACCGATTACTCAACTGGGTTGAATGAAGCCTTAAAAACTCATCAGTATCCATTACCCTTACCTGAAGATCTTTTAACTAAACTAAATGGAGGTAAGCTATTTGCAAAGTTGGATTTATCGGAAGCTTATTTACAAATTCATGTTGCTGACGAGTGTAAAAGTCTGCTCACCATAAACACACACAAGGGCCTATTCCGGTATAATCGACTACCCTTCGGAGTCAAGACGGCCCCATCTGTATTTCATCAGGTAATGGATAGTATGCCACAGGATGTTCCAGGTGCTGCGGCTTATCTGGATGATATAATAATTATGGGAGTAGATAGAATAGACTTAGAAAAGAAGCTCGACCAGGTGCTGTCGCGAATAGCCGAATATGGACTTCGGTTTCGTCCAGAAAAATGTAACTTTTGTATGCAAAAATTACGCTACCTTGGATTTATAATCGACAAAGATGGCAGAAGACCAGATCCAGAGAATACCCAGGCAGTGAAAACTATGCCCAGACCGACGGATGTCCCCACACTATGATCCTTTTTGTGACTAGTTAATCATTATGGAGCTTTTATTCCGAACCTTCATCAATTACGTGTCCCCTTGAATAAGCTTCTGGCGAAGAATGTAAAGTGGAATTGGTCTGCAACTTGCTAAGCTGCTTTCGATGAAATCAAGAAAGTCATGTGGTGACTAAGTTTGTTTTCACTTGAGAATGTAAATTCCAATCCTATTCAAGCTGATTTTAAAGTTATTAGTTACTTTGACGTCGCGGGGTGGCATCGTAAATGCGCACTGCTGAGAAATCCTATACTAGGAATAAACGGCCTTCCAGGTTTTCCATGGTGGTCTAGCTCCAATTAACTCATGAATTCAACTATTAGAAATACCAGTTTGACAATAAAATTATAGTTTTTACAAGTGCCATGTTTTCAACTTTAAGAATGAAAAGTGGTTAAATTGCATAACTACTGAATACATTAGTCAGTAGTTTCAGAAGGCTTATACAAATAGCTTTTATATGGTTGGTCTCAAATTGTTTTATTTAGTTGACGAATATTATTTTTTTGTGTGTTACTATTGTGCCATGTTATTGTCACGGTATGATAAAGGGTGCGTGATAAAATATTTGGTCTTTAATTAATTCGTGCACATAGATGTGTAAATCAGATAGTCCTTTTATTCATTACTTCGTCATGAAATACAACTCTGTCTTTAAGTCTTACCGTGTATTTAAAGTGTAGACAATCAGTTTCGGTTTTTGTGTATGGTTTACTGGATAGTGCAAGTGTTTGTGAAACATGGATATAAATATCACCTGTAAACGGTAGTTGTTGTTGCTATAACTATACTACTTATGAGTAACTCGAATTTGTTTCTTGCTCTTTATCGGTTGATCGTAATCTGTTTTAGTGCTTTATGAAAGTTTTTCGTTTTGGTCTTATTGAACCAGTCATTTTGTGCCTGTGTGCGTTGAGATTTGACTGTTGTTGCTGAGTTCACCATGTTGAGTGTGATTTCAATATAAACTAATTATCATTTATTGTAGACCCAATCATCATTCATATATTTTCATACGTAAATATTCCGAGTAGCTAAGGTAGGTAGCCCTTTGACTACATTTGACGTCAAGTAAGCTTTTCCGGTAAGTCTTACAGCAGCAGTTACATCTATTCGATTTCACAGTTGGCTAATATATTTTGATTTAATTTGTTTAAAAATTGGTTTAATTTATTTGTTTCTCACTCTTCCGGCTTTACGATTAGGTGAAAAGTTCGCATGTGAACATTGTGAAAAGAAATTCAAGACAAAGTCTTATTTGAATGAACATGTGAAAGTTATTCATGAAGGTAGTTTAATCATTGAGTAGCATTTTGACTTTCTGTTCATTTTGCATCTATTTTTCCATGTTTACTTTTGGTTTAGTTAAACAAAACAATAAGGTTGGAAAACGGTTAATAGTTTGTCGGTAATTATGTAAATTACTGTAATGCTGTGTTCATTTTTTGGTTTTTCGGTTCTAAATCGCGATTTCGGATATGACTCTACATAGTACGGTTATAATCATAGATTATTATATATATATGATTTGATTCTTTGCACATTTTAAGTTTTATCATTTTTAGCAGCCCTTCTATTATTACATGGAAACATGATTTATTCTAGCTTCTGGACAGACAAATTGTTCTGATTTTTCCAGCTGTTATTCATATCTTTCGCCTTGCCAATTTTCACATATAGCCTTGATCATATTTTGTGCATGATTGTACGTACGTGTCTATTCACCCCCTGTATTTTTTACATGTCTTATAAAATCTGAGTCACGTTACTGATCTCAAAGTCGGTGTATTGCCGAATCCCAGTGCTTTATCCGTCCGCTGCATCCCTTATTTCTTTTCTGTCGTTCAGTCTTACCATATCTGAAATGAATGTATCCTAAATACCAATTGTATTCTACTTTTATTATCATCTACGTCGTTTTCATCACGTGATTTGTTGATAGCGTTTACAAGGTCAATTTGTATACACATTTCATTAGCACCATGATCCACTGATGATTTTCGTCATTGATGGAGTCAACCCTGTGCGCTACACACTAAACGTTTGCAATATTAACCTCCTAACCAAGGTTCAGGTTCACATGATTCTATTCGTCCGAATGCGATAATACAACTGACTCATTACGTCAAGATTAGTTACCGTAAACAAGTCAAAATTTAACTATATGGTTATAGTCCTTGTTGGGGCTTTGGTAACTACAAGGAATGATGCTGAACAGAGGAATTAGTCTACAAACAAAGGTGACTTAATAATCTAAATATTGTTAGAAAGTAAAAAAAAAGTGATTGGGTAACTTTCGTATCTCGGTCAGGAGAGATTACCTGGTTAAGTTACTCAACCCCTTAGTGATTCAAGTGTACTTCATCCACGTGTATAAGGATCAGTTTGTTCATTAAATAAGAAACTTTTGAAATATTTTAGCAATTAACCTTCATTTATGCACATGTAAACAATGTTACTCGTTTTACTGTAATGAAATTTCCCTGAACATCAAGTACACCGTTGCGTTTATTTAATTGTAAATTAGATTACTGCTCACGTGTAGAGAAAGCAAGTCCTTTTCCACTGTTTAATAAAATTTCAATATCTTTTATTTTCGAGCATCTTTCTGTTCATTTAGTGGATGATTGTTGCATATTAAAGTATGGTCTTCACTAGATACTTTATTTCAATCATCTAAAGCTATCTAGACTTGTCATATGTGAACACGTCACTGTAGCGTATGTTAACTTATCGGGTGAAAGAGGCAAATAAAGTAAAATTTAGAGCTTGAAATAAAGTCCTCAATGAAAATCATATTCTTTATGAAGCATTCACCTACCAAGTGAACTGAAAATCACCTAATAATGGCTGTTACCGTACGTATATTAAGTATTGATAAACGCATATGCTATATATTCATGAACACGTATCTTGTCTCTTTGCTCTTCTAGAGGGAAAATCATCACTGAAAGAAATAAAAATTGACGGCAAACAGAAAATGTTTAATGCCATTGATTTACATTAAAATGTAAACAATGTCGAATGATTTCATCTTAAAATTTTAAGAATGACGTTTGGTGTTTGAACATGTTAATTAATGACTAAATGCTAAATGATCGACTGTAATGAAAACTGTTAATTCAGTTCAATGTATTTGTTTGGCTAAATTTCGATTTTGTTTTTCTTTCTGTGGTCACTATAGCAATGACAGAATTAACATATTTTCCTCGTTGATTTATTATGCACACACACATATATATCTTTTAATGATAATTATACAGGTATTTTAATTCAATGTGATGAATGTGGCGATGGATTCAAGTCTACGAGTTCACTTAAAAATCATATAAATTTAGTGCACAAAGGTACCCTATTGATTTTGTTCTGTTTTAATACAATGTTCACTTAAATTTAAATGTAACGGGAAATGTGTATTTGGTGTAAATATCTTTCAGTTCTACATGAGATGAATTAGATCAAACTTGAATAACTTGGTAATTTAATCCTTGAGTGTAACGCTGGATAATGCAGTTTAAAATCTCTTAGGGGAGAATCAGTTTCATTAAGATTTCAGGTACGCCCTACTGACTGATGAATATAAATTAACGTAAAATCTTATCCTAAGTTTTCCTACCGATTGCTTCGAACTATCTCACATTGAGAATTGGTTAGCTCACACAATCTTGATTTGAATCAATCAGTGGCTACATTGCTACTTGATCGACCAATATTTCACTAGGTCTAAGAATTTAACTAACATGATATTGGTTATTACTCAGTGATCAATAAATTATTTGATAATATCGTAGTTTTCTATTGTACTTAGAAATAAGACATATTACTACTTACGTTATAAGAAACTAACATAGTTTTTTCATCATATGTTGAGGAACGTTTGACAACCACGGAGTATCGAAAACCCAATCTGTTTTAAATTTAAAACCCACCATTGTGTTATGTACTATCGACAACCTCAAGAATAATCATATCCACCCAACCACCTTAAGCATTCTTGCCTCTATTAGTATTTCCTGATTTTATCCAGAATTATGTCTCATACACTTTTAAGCTGTGACAAAGTTCAGAAATTGTCACCATTGTTTTTCAATAGGTCGAGATCCAATAGTTTACAATTTCTAGCTAATTATATTTACTACTATTGAATTTCACACTACGCTTTTATGATACGTCATAAACGTTTTGAAAAAATCAGACTTTTGTTGTTTTTCTAATGATATTTGTATTTTCAAATTAGTGACTAGTAAGATGATTTCAAATCGATTTATCTAAATATTTAACTCAGTTTTTCTTGTTTTGGCAGTCAAACACCAGAATATCAATAATTACACTGGTTAATGTATAATCTTTTATCAAATTATCGAGTTATTCAAAAATGAGAAAAAACAATTCTCACGTGATAACATTGTTGTTCTACTAGTAGATATTTAAGTTCAGGTTTATTCACTTTTATACCTGGTTGTCCTAATCAAAATAAAAATATTGATCATTTTATGACCCAATGTTGTTGGTTTGATAATAAAGAACTGGTTGGTACTAAATTATCACACGGATGGCAACAAATCATGATTGTTATTTCTAAGTGAATCGTGTCACAATGAACCGTGTAAATTATCAAAAGACAACACAAGGCCTGTATGTGGATGTAAATAATCACCTGTGTAGCGATAATGCTTGTTTTCTGAGAACTTTGGACCTTTAATCAACCTTAAATTTTGATCGAAAACAGTGTAATATGATTTACGCTAATTGACTTAACGACAGATTATCCATTTTAATTATATTTAAATCATCCAGCTTCATAAATGAAAATGTAGACTAGAGTAACCTATACATTAGTCGATAACTTGAAATGTACATATCTAAATAAGCCAATTCCTATTTGAGAGTGAGGTTCGAACTGGAATCCTGGTGATTAAAAGCCTAATGTTTTATCTATTAAATCACCAGTTCAATGTTTACCTAAAAAGTATAAAGGCGTTATAAAATATTAATCTTCTTTCTTAAAAATATCTGGAAGAGATATGGTGCTTTAACCTCGAATAATCATTGATATGGTAATGTTAAATAACCTGACCTTATTTTTTCTTCTCGTTCTACGTACATGTATATGTTTATCTAATCAGGCTTGGGATTTCAATGTCATTATTGTAATAAAGTGTTTACACAGAGACATACCTTAATAATACATGAAGAATGTGTTCATAAAGGTAAGTTAAACAAGATTGCGTATACCCATATTTTTGTGTATCATCCATGTTATTTAGAATTACAATCCCTATTTTAAAAAATAAGCAAGAAATTTGACCACATCATTAAAGTGTAAGTTGGTAAGATTTTGAATATTCTCACTAACTGGCTATTGTTATCAGTGGAAAATTAGTGTAGGCAAAGGCATTTTTTGTGACAAGGATTATGTCCAAGGGCCAAAATCAGATACGTGCCAGTCTGGTTGATGATTGAAGTCTATGCCACTTTTTTGGTTTGGTGGGGATCAAGTTATTAGATCTTGAAGCTCATCGACGATCGGTAATTTCATTTGTTGGTGTCGTGCAGTTACCAACGCACAAGGACTTCTTCCGTATTGAGTCAAGCGGCTACATTTCTCTGGTATGGCACTCAAAAGCTAACTCAGAAGTGGCAGACCAAGAAAGTTCGACTTTCTAATTAAAGCAAAGCATTGCAAAGTTTACTGTTTGGTTTTAACCCAACATGATTTCTGCCTAGGGCTCCAAATGAGTTATCAGTGGTCAATCAGGTTTTAGAGGTAATCATTACCAACAATTTTGTTATACGAATGATCAAGCAGAATATTTAAAATTTGAATTTTGTCAAAATAGAAAAAAATACTTGACAGAGTCGTTAGACATCAATGTTAAAATCATCCAAAGGAACAAAAATGTTGGTTCTATCCACCATCAATGTTGAACCCCTACGATGTCCAAAATTATTTACTTACTGAAAATAATTACTCCACTATAAGTACTTTAGGATGATCAAGTTATATCACTATTGAATGTTCAAATGTTTTACACAATCTATTTCCCATGGGTTCTTACATGTCCAATGAATCATTTTTAAAGTATACTTTTTTTGTATACTACTTGACAATCCATACTATTTGTATATTAGTTTGCATTTGATTAATATATAAATTATTATAACTATTATTATGGGCCTATAACTGTAGAGTCTTATGATGAAGTTATTGAAAACAATTGTTCGCTCAAATATTCTTTATTTTTGAATACTGTCTGAGGATTTTTAAACTGCTTATATATATATATATATATATATATATATATATATATATATATACTTGAATCTTTCATCCCTTTGAAGGAATAAGCTGCCTTCTAAGGGTCTCCAAACAACTCTGTCTTGGCTCCTCTTTCAGCTTTCATCAAGTGCTATTCATGGTTCTGATCTCTGTTTTCAAATTCCGGCTCCATATGTTATTCACTCTCTTTGTTTTCCTTTTTACATGAAGATTCAAAGTTAGGACTTGCCTCGTTCTATGGTTTCGACAAATTGTATCCTATGCTTCTTCAGCTGCCAGTTTGTTTGTTCTTTTCTACAGTAGGTTATTGCTAATAGTTTCGATCAATTGATATAGAGCATCTTGTGTAGGCAGCTTTTTGTGAATACCTGTACATTTTTGGTAACGATTGCGGTAACTCGTCAAGTTTCAGCTCCATACAATAAAATTGTTTGGATGTCACTGAAAATCCTGACTTTAGGGTAGGGGGACAGTTGTTTTGAGCGTCACATATTCTCCAGTTGTAGAAATGTCTCCGATGTTTTCCCAATGATTCCCTTGACATCTGTATCAAACTCTCCTTGTTTGTCGGTGACTGTCCAGGTATGTAAAACTTTCCATCTCTCTCAAAGCTTCTCCATCAAGTGTGACTGGGCTGGTGCTCTCTGTATTGTATTACAAAGTCTTACTTTTTTCCTTGTGTATGTTGAGGCCTACTGTCGTAGAAGCAGCTACTACACTAGCTATCTTCACATGCATTTGTTTTTGAGTATGGGATAGAAGAGATTAGCCATCTACGAAGTCCAAATCGTCTAGGTGCATTGAAGTTGTTCATTTTATTCCGTGCTTTCCCTGAGATGTAGAGGTTTTCATAAAATAGTCAACCACAAGATGAGAGCAAGCATCCTTGTCTGACACTGGTCCATACTTGAAATGCATGTCAGTTGTCCTCTATGCACGACTTTACAGTGTAGTCCATCTCAAGAACTCCGAGTGATGTTGACGATTGTCACAGGAACACCGTTGTGTCGAAGAAAGTTTCACAAGGCTCTCATATCCATGCTGTCAAATGATTTCTCATAGTCAAGGAAGTTGATGTATGGTAATGATTTTCATTTAAATGATTGTTCAACTGTGATTCGAAGTGTTGCCATTTGATTGGTAACGATCAATCCATATGGAATGCAGCCTGTGTTGATCTCAACGTTGGATGTCTGCTTTATCTTTCATTTGGTTCAGCAACACTGTTGTTGCACTTAACATACAAATTATTATTAATCTAACTCCCGAAGTATTTCAAGTCAGTTTTCGTCACGGCATGTAGGTAGTGTTCGTCATAAAACCAACTCCTGAGATAATTGTCATGAATGGTCACGAGTTTAGTACGACTGTATAATCTTGAATTACGACGAAACGGTTATTTAATGAATGTTTCATAAGAAATAAACCTGAATTCATGCACTCGACAAACTTCTTATATCAGTAGTCAAAGTGTTTCTAAACTGTAGGATATGCCGCACTGGATGATTATGTATAATGTTTGAAGTTTGTAGACTTCTTTATCATAATTGTTATATCCGAGTGGAGATTAAATTACAGGTAACTCCCGAGGACTATTCATGGACTAATATTCTATAAATATTCTTATTGTATAATTATTCAACAATTACATTACATATATTTATATTCCTCTTATTATAAGCTTTATTTTGGCCTATAATTTATTATTGTACGATTTACGGTTCTTAAGTTATGTTCAGTTTATTAACTACTGCCTCCCACATTCACAGCCACTTTTTGGGCTTATTTGTGTACAAATATTATTTCCTATTTTATGGTACGTTGCGGTCTGTGTGATTGATATATAAACCAAGTATGCCTGAAATAAACGATCTGCTCTGATTCGGAAGCTGGTATTGTGTTCTGTACTCAAGTGGGAGGGCTCGTAGGACATAGGACCAATAAGGACACTAAACTGCCCACACCGGTTGAACGTCATTGGTTGGCCTAGTGTGAAGATTCGTATAAGTCGTATCCGGATTGGTAGATAAGTCGTGTGATCGAAAAGTCAGACATCCAAGGTCATAACAATAATTATCGTATGTTTATACAGTGGAAAAGTAAATTCATTATTTTGTTTTAATTTCTATTTTTTCCTCCCTATCCAGGTATCAAATATCATGTAATCATTGTAGCAAAAAATTGCATCTCGATGGTATTTAAAAGAACACATCACAATCGTCCATGAAGGTAAGTTGGATGTTGTTTTGTTTCATAAACAAATGTCCTGTTTGACGCTCATTCCTCTACATAACCGTTAAACAATGAGTTGATATTTGTGTAACTGACCGAAGTGTTTTCGTATACCTTGAGACTAATGCAAGATGGTATTATTACTTGTGTACAATAATTTCTATCGCAAGCTGATGTCAGTTGGAGAAACACTGGAGATAAACGTGTGGCGGATAAGTGTTTAATTCTCATTTGAATCTCTTCAGTTTTTGCGGAAAATTCACAAAAAACACTAACTAAGTGATTGGTTGACTCAGCATTATGGTCTGTACAACCTCGGACAATCCTTAGTGTTATGTGGTCATTTACTATGGAGAATAACAAAGGTAAAACGGAGCACTGGTTCAGTGCTTCCTGGTTTATAATGAATATTCAAACGACAACTTCTCATGTAATAGCGGGATTACTGTATTGTGCAACCGGAGAGCGTTTGTAATATGTACTTCGCAAATAAGAAAACAACACTGGTTCAGATGATGAATTATTTCATCCTTCAAAATATAACAACTAGTTTGCAGTTGATGAACTAAAAAATCACATATAAGGAAAATACAAAATTGATGTTACACTAAAGCAGCAAAAGACGCATGCTTCATGTCATACTCAACAAAGTTCACACTAAGTGAATACGAAGAATATTATTCCGAACATACGTCACACTAATAAAATTCATTTTATACAAAACAAAATATCACACTAATAATGAACAAATATCCTATCAAGCGGCAGTGACGTAAAGAATAAATTTATTTTTTTCAAATAAAAGTCACTATACTAAAACCACTTCACGTTTTTATCCCGTCCCAATAATATATATGTAGAATCACATGATAGATAAACTACTAGTATGTATTATGTTCCAACTGTTCGATAGTTTTTGATTGAGATCATGAAGTGATTGATTTTAGACCACCATTGAAAACCTGGGAGCACTAGACGGCCGTTTCGTCCTCCTTGGCAGTGCGCATCCATGATCCCGTTCGCAGGATCTCAATCAAAAACTTAATAATTTCTACAACCCCTATACTATTCGATAGTTGTTAGGCAATTACTTAACATAAGTTGAAACGACTGTTTGACTATGAAACAGTTCATTCATTTGTAATATTCACATCCCATCATGGTACATGATTCGTTGCAGAAAGATTATCTTATACAAATATTCAATTCACTGAATATTGTATATTGTGTAATTACTTGTATGCAATTTCATATGAAAAATGAAGTAAATTTCATCACTTTTTCAATATATTTGTTTGAGCTTATGTCTATTAACCACGTTATCTATTCACATGCTTTTATAAAAATCCTATAACTTGTCGCTCTCCTGATTACTGCAATCCTCAAACAAGTCAATATCTTGCTAGATTTTTCTGATTGTCTACCTTTTAGTTGAGTAAGATGCAACTGTAATTGGATTTAATCCAGATGCAATAAGAGTACAAATACTTTTGACACTTTTAACATATCATTATTATAACCTAACATAATATATAACTGAATGCAGAATAATTGTTTGCAAATCATTGTTATGTGTATCATAATTTTTTTCACTTTTCTAGGTAATTTACTAAAATGTGAACTTTGTGGTCGGTCATTCAATTCACATTGTGCATTACGTTATCATTCTAATATTGTTCATAAAGGTTGGTGAATAGTTTGTCAATACTAATTTATTTGTAACTAGAAGTTTTTTTTATTTGTCTTGCTACTCTTAACTCTCCAAACATTGATATCTTAACCGCTTCCTATTCTTTAGAAATCTCCCTTTCTCTAACTGCGAGCAGAGAAGAAATGGTTGGAAATATAGAAGTTTTACTTCGTAGGTTATATTATTTACAGGAAACTAGAGTATTGGTGAGTTTGAGGTATTCAAAGCTGAAGCAAAAACTCAGTGCTTCGGTCTGGGCACCCGGGTAATATTACAGCCCACACAGAAAGCAAATGACAATTATTACTGGGAACATTCTTGCTTCAATTAACATTCAAACAAATCACATTCATTATTATTTTTTTATATACCACGTCACTTATTTACTCTCTTCTATTCTCACTTAGCGTATTCTTATATTTAACTTATACTGCAGCTCCCTGTGGTGGAAACCCTGTTCTATCTAAACGATCTCGAGTCACTGACTGGTCGAAATTGAATGCTACCACCGAATACGAATACTGAAACAGTCTTTCTGAAACCGCATATACCATTCAAACTGGCTTCCTTCAACGTCCGCACACTAATGCAGATCGGAAAACAGATAGGGTTGGCTATCTCTTTAGAAAGTCTTAATATCGATGTCTGTTGTCTATCCGAGACCCGTATTCAAGACTTTAGTGAGGTATTGCAAATTTTCCTCCCATATGTAGCTTCGAAAGGCTTGTTTCACGTGAGTTTACCCGAGGATCATGTGGCATTTCCGTCTGGTTTTGCTGGCATTGGTGTCTCACTAAGCGCTAGAGCTGAGGTAGCACTGACCCATTGGATCCCCATTAATAGTCATTTATGTGCTGTTAGACTAGAAAACTCCATCGAAATGAGAAGAAATCGGCGTGGGAAACCATGTCTTTTCGTCATCACCTATGCCCCGACAGATTGCAGCCCGGATGCAATCAAGGATAAATTCTACCACCAGTTAACTGTTCCTCTCCAGAAAGTGCGTTCGACAGATATTGTATTACTAGCCGGAGATTGAATGCTCAGGTTGGGCGTCTATGTACAGAAAGGAGTGGTTTGGGTGGTCGATGGAGGCTTGTTAGTCGCGGGTTAGATAATGGGGACCGTCTACTGCAACTGTGCACAGACTACAACCTGCTAGCACTAAATCCCGGCGCATTCATCGCCGATGTGTTACTTGGCGTTCTCCCTCTATATCTGAGGCCTGGACTCAGATTGATCACACCGTGATCAGCTATCACTGGTGTGGTTGTGTACAAGACTATCGCTCCTTTTGGAGTACCTATCTGATCTATGATCATGGCCTTGTTTGCGCTATTCTTATTTTAAGTTTCAGTAGCCAACACATTCATTCTCCTAAATGGATCGATGCCAGTAAATTGGTTGCAGCTTCTGTTGCAGTTAAATATCAAACCGCGCTAGGATCAGGGTTAGTTACCATTCCACGGAAAAGTATAGATGAGCATTGTTTGCAATTGCATGACGCCATGAAAATGGTGAGTAAAGCCGCTTGCTGCTTCGCGAAACGTTCCACTGGGTTTCTTCTGGTTCCTTAAAACTCATTGAAGCCCGTCGATCTACTCCGGGTGATTGCAAGTTCGACTACACACGAAGACTGTTACGTAATGAAATTGGGCGAAGCTTGTGTAAGGACCGAGAAGCCTGGTGTTCGGAGCGTGCTGATGAGTTCGAAGCAACAGCTGCATCTGGTAACTGCGTAAGCTCTTCCAACTCACAGGCTGCAAAAAGTTTGGTTTTAGCGAAACAATCTGTGAAGATGACGGGATGCCAGTCAATAGCATCTATAGACGTCTTGAACGATGGGCAAAGTTTTTCGAGGGGCAGTTCAACTGGTCTGGTACCCTAGCAACATTAATCAGACTGTCCTACCCTACACGGACTGTGATGACTGATCCACTAAATGAGGCAGAAGTCCTCAAGGAACTCCAACTCTTGAATGGCTACACATCACCAGACCCAGATGACTTACCTCCGACCCTATTTAGAGATTGTGGTGAATTTCTCATTCAGGAACTGATTGAGTTGTTTACAAAAGTTTGGCAGTTACAGAGTGTTCCAGCATTATGGGGGGAGTCGATAGTTGTCCCTATCTTTAAAAAGGGTTCACCTTGTTCCTGTAACAACTATTGTGGGATAAGCCTACTTTCGATTGCGTCCAAACTACTGTCTTCCGTGATACTTCGTAGATTGTTCAAAACCCGAGGAAGTTTGATTCGCGAGCAACAAGCAAGTTTTCATACTTGTCGAATGTGTCTATTAAAGAAGGGTGTGCCTGAGAAGTTTATTAACATCACAAAAGGTCTATATACAAATAAATGAGGTGGAGTGAGGGCATACAACGACTTTTGTCCGTTGTTTCATTCAAGCAGTGCGGTTAGACTGGGTTGCCCAATCTTACCATTACTCTTCAGCTTTGCTATGGATGAAGTCCTGGATACAGCTCTGATGGATGTAAATGATGGAGGTGTTGATATATGTTGCGTGGAGAATGACTTTTCGACCTTGAGGATGCGGATGATATTGCCTTACTGTGCGGTGATACTCAAGCCATGTAATCTGAACTGAAAGGACCCTGATCCTGCACTCACCCGGGGTAGTGAGCAGATAGTAGTCGAGAAGTTCGTGTACCTGGGTAGCTGCATAAGTGCTGGTGGTGGCGTGAGTGATCAGATCAATTAACGTATAGTGAAATCCAGAGCGGCCTATGTTAATCGGGGCTGTCTCTGGCGCCTTCGCGATGTTAGTCTGGCTGTAAAAGGCCGGATCTACAACGTATCGGTGAGAGCAGTTTTGTTCTATGTTTGTGAAACCTGGCCTCTCTGAGTTGAGGATGTTAGACGATTCCCTGTGTTTGGTCGTCGTTGTCTCCGAAAAATTACTGATATCCAGTGGCAACACCATGTTAGTAATGCAGAGGCTCGACATCATGTGTTCGGGCACAGCGACGATAGTTAAGTTAGTATCACTACCTCGAAACATCGACTTCGGTGGCTTGGACATGTTCTGCGCATGTCGTCCCAGAGAATCCCACGTGCATTATTTGCCGACGCTGGGACTAATTGGAAAAAGCGGAGAGGTGGTCAGTGTACGACGTGGTGTTGTGGTATGAAAGAAGGCTGTATAGGACTGGCTTCTGTCAATCATTCATAACCATCTTCTGGGGTCCTAGAGATGGTGCAATACAGTGTCTAGAGACGTTATCAGACATAACTCAGAATAGAAGTCAGTGGCGATTATGCGGTAACTTTCTCCATAAAAAATGACGCAACTTCTTTAACTGAAGTTCTTTCTGGTTGTACTTTTGCTAACTGTACTGCCTCTCCCATACACTAATTTCTGTTCGTTGTTCTCCTTTTTGTTGCACGCACTTTACATTCTCGATCTCTTTACAGCCTTATTGTTCTTGTGTGGCGCATATGTATTTGGTGCCCCTTTGTCACAATATTTATATGTTAACTGTACTACCTCTCTCATTACTATTATTTCACTCCCATACACTAATTATTATTTTGATAGAGATAGTGAACCGATCGATGTTAGACCACTGTGATCTCAATCAAAACCTTCACAGCCTTATTGTTCTTGTGTGGCGCATATATATTTGATGTACTTTTATGCCAGTATTTATATGTTCAAATAAATAACAAAATTACAGTCAAATTACCATTATGTTCGATAATTATTCAGGCCAACGACGAAAATGTCAGTTGTTTTCCAAAACATATTAGTTTGTTATCCAGAATGATGAGTTCCACATTTTCATATTATTTTCTTGAATATCTTTGTTTTCTCTTGCCTTGAATTTGTCCAGATTATATATACATTGTTCTGATAATCTTCGTCTTATTACACTATAAAAAGTTGCTTTCTAGTTTCGAGAAACCGATTAGTCGGAATGGTTTCTGCATTTTTCCCGGTTTCTGGAGAATTTTTCAAACAAACCATGATATTGACTTCCGCTTTGTCTATTTCAACCCTTAGCATTTTAGAGCGGTTGACTGTAGAATATGTATTAAGGTGGTTATGTCGCTAAACATTTATTTTAATAACCGTCCCGGAATCTTCAAAAAAGTCGTCCAATTCAGCTACGATCTTCCCTTTTGTTAAGTAAGATTAGACAAGAAGATAAATTCTGGAATCCATGAATAACAATGATTCCCTAATAATTATTTTGAAGATTTTTGGACTTTTAGGGGGGTAATAAATGGTATTTCTTAACACATTTGTATTTAGAGCATACTAACGTATCATAGTATATTTGTTATGCTGGCAACATTAGGCGTCATATACCAATTAAGTTTTGTTCAACTCTGTAACAATATGTAAGTCGCTTATGTTAATAAAATCACAAGATCATATATTTTATATTTGACGTACGGCAAACTGCTTTGGGCATTGCATCAATTTATACGCATAAGTGGGATAGTTTTAAAAAGGCTATCAATTTTGTAAAGCGCTTATATAAATAAATACTTGTAGATCAAACGATTAGTTGTCATATTCAAACCGTCTTCATGTTATCCTGCATGAATAAACTGTAGCCACCAATGAATTTTGATAAAGATTAAAATAAATACTTAAAAGATATACAGAATAGACACAGTTTATCATGGACCTTGAAGTCATTGTTAAACAAAAAGCCAAGTCGTTCAAAGTATTGGCAAAAAAAAATCCTGAAATATCAACAATTACAATACTGACTAATTTATATTTTGAAAAATTCACCACTGTTTTCAAGCATAAAACTGATTATCATATCAAAATTAACTTTGGTTAAATATTACTCAAGTTCCCCATGGATACCTTCTCAACGATTAACTTCACACTTTCACAGCATAATCAGAAATAATAAAGGCTTCTCAAAAATCAACAAAATTATTTTCCTCAGTAAACTGTCATAATTTCCACTTGATAATGGATGGCTGTTTATTTTGTTGCTGAAAAACCATTATCTTATTACATTTTGAGTGTTTTACATTTAAACAAAAACAAATTATTAGCCTATCCTTCATATATATTCCAATTTCAGATCATAAATTCCAATGTCCACATTGTCCCAAGACCTTTCGTTTGAAAAAATACTTAGAAGGTCATGTAAAACGAGTTCATGCTAGTAAGTGAAAAATTTTCAACCAAATTTTTTAAGTGAATAAAACTTTCTTTACAGTGAAAATGTTACATTAAGAATTAGCATTAGAAACTAAAGAGAATAACTTAAGGGCGAGGGAGAGATATCAAACAGCTTTTTCCAATCGGATTTGAAGACGCATTATTATACACCTATAACACACGTACACACAACTCATCATATATGATAGTTTTGATGACGAATATGTTGTACCTTTACAACTAAGTCTTAATCGCAACGAACTGTTAAGTGCAAGTGATGAGAGTTACCACTGAGAACTCTGTCACTGTTACTGCTATCAAATTTATCTTCAGTTGATACCTCTCAACAATACATTACCCACAGCAGTGATAATTTACGTTTTATTTAATAGATGGAATGTTCGAATCCTATCCCACCCTATTCCCAGTTTCAACAACCAAATAGTATCATTAGTCCGTTATGCACATACTGTGACTGAAAGCCGAGTATAATAAATATTCACTTGGCCAACGAGTTATTACTTATCAATCGAGCACTAATTTCATAAAATTAACTTTTTTTAATGATAAAATTATTGAACCAGTCGATATAGTCAATCGCGTTATCGGTTTATGCTTTAATCCAAATATTGGTGATCACTTGTAAAGGGATAAATATCATATTGTGTACATTTAAATGCTCCATTCCAACTCATTGTCCAAACTGATTAATGATTACTTTTGATTGAGTTACTGATTGTTTAAGAAATATAGTTAGCACTGTTTTAGTGGTTGAGGAGCATTCGAATCTTCAGAAATTCGGTTTAGACAACCAAGCAGTATCATTGTTCCTTATCCTCACATGCAAAATCAACATGTAAATGGTATAAAAATAGATGTCACATTATTTCACATCATTTCCCTTTAACGTACTATATCGTTAAATAAGATTAGTTTTTACTATTTCGCCGTTTTTCACTAATTTCTGTTCATTTTAATTCATAGATTTGGGTAAAGGAAATACGCAAACAGTTTAAAATCACAAAATGTATACACATACAATGAAGATATATACGATTTAGCTTTAATTCTGATTATTATTATCACTACTACTACTAGTAGTAATACTGCTATCGTTGTTGTTTTTAAAATTATTATTACTAACATCCTTCTCTCCTTTATATATTTCCATTTAACACAATTCTTATTGTTTTATCAATGTGTTATTATTCTTGTCAAACGTGAATCTCCGTTCGCAATTTCACTTGTTGTAAACAACATAGAAAAGAGTTGTTTTAGAAAACAATGAAATAAATAATGAACGAGTGAAATGTAAATAAGGCAAACTGCAATTTTTTGCTTCAATTTTTTATCAATGTTTATTTCTTCTCTGTCAGTTTTTTTGTTTCGGTTTAAAAAACATATACAACCATTATATATATATATATATATATATTGGCACGCACTAATTTGAAATACATGAATGCATTTGTTATTATTGATTTACTTATTTACAAATGTTTATCAACACATACCACTTAATAGGGCAGTTTGTTAGCACATTGAAGCAAATTAAATAAAGTTAGCTACAACCAAACCAGTGCACCACTATCATTTTTCTCAAACGTGTCATCAGGTGAAACCTAATTAAGGTTTGTATGGTAACCGTAATTCATAGCTGGAAATATGGCTGAAGATTGGTTGTATTTGAACGATGTACTAATTCGTAACCTGTATATAAATTGTCGAGTTTTACTTATCTCACAATTTTGCACTCTGAATATCTTTCGAACCATATTGTTGATGATCAGTTTACTATTATTTAAAGTGCTGTCACATTGTGACAAATTGGGACGACACCGAGCCGGATTCTATGCTATGTACGACTACTTGAATTGGTTACTTATTGACCTTACTAGTTTAGAAAACATTTAATTATTCCATCATCTGCTTCATATACCTCCTACTCTAGAGGTTATTGTAGGATTTAAAACAGACTGCAAAATTAAACTTTCCTTCACTAATATGCCGAGAAAGGCCGTACAGATCACATATCACTGTATAATCGGAAGGGATTTAATGGAACCGTAGAGGGGCTAATGTAAATGAATTCATTATGCGTATCACTAAGATCGATAGACATACATTCCTATCTGGACCAGTCAAATACTTTAACTGATGATCTACGACTTGTCTTCAAAAACCTTAATCTAATGAATTTTGGGTAGAATTTAATACATGTAACTAAATCTTGAGGATTGAAAATTTTCATTTAAGTATAACGCCTATCAATTAACGACTCAGTATTAATATTGCTACTTGAAAGGTTTAAAAGAATAACTACTGTTCTATGACAGAAAAGGAGTCCATATATAAATGTTTTTAGAAACGTATCGAGAAACTCGAAGAAATTACAAGACATCATTACAAACGGTCACAGTTTCCAAACCTGTTAAATTACTATTGAATTTACATTTATAACCAACCTTAGTTTGGATTGCATTCATTTTGGGAAATAAGCCTATAATGTTGGCATTTAAGTGAGGACTATGGGGACCGTCCATCGCAATAAGTCATTTCTATGGTCAACATTAAACATTTTTTTATTCGGTGACCTTGAATAGCATTGGACAAAGTAACGGCAAAATATTCATTAGGTTAGTGTACTGTTGTCAGAATATATTTCAGGGTATTCTGATTGATTATGACTGAACTTTGAAAATACTTCGGAGGATTTTCAAGTTCCTTACATATTTTTCTTAAATTCAGATGATTCATTTTAGAAAGTTTAGTCAAACACTTCCTGAAAATCGCGTTGAAGAACATTTTCAATCCATAATTATTCGCTATCACGCAACACAACATAAACAGGTCATAATTAAATTCCCAAGTGTTCCGTCCTGAAAAAACGCTATATTTTCATACAGAGCGAATGAGAGCACTGGGATGCCCTACGATATTCAAAAATTCGCTTGATTTTGCATTCTCCAAACCAAATGTACTCTGCACTGATACACAGACGAACAGGTGGAATCACTCGTGACAACCAGGGCAAACTTTTATAGGTACATTGCATATTTCAGTATCATCAGACTACATTACGAAAAAATTCAGGTCGATTATATATTCTTGTTGAAATAACGCTCGTTTGCTCCCTTACACCAATGGGATAGATATTTGCCTTCGACGAATGTCTACACAAGATATCCTGACAGTATCCATTCTACAGGACTTCAACACGACTCGGATCAAGAACACGTGACTGATCTGGCTAGAACGTGAGTATATTGCCACGACAACAATAATAATAATAGTGGGAACATATATACCTATCTACTAGTCTGACTCCCCCACACATCATCCCTCTTGCGAAATTTATTCGTGAGACTTTGTCTTTAGGCTCATTCGTTTGTTTCCGTTCTCTTGATGACCTGCTACTAGCTTCCGGTTTGAACTTAATGATGATGATTGTGCAATATCAAACGTATCACATAATTATGTTGGCGAAATTCTAGCTTCAGGAGAATAACTTCTATTTTTTCTATCCCCCAATCGATTTATATATTTAATAATTAGTGTATTCTCAACCATCACTAAATACAATACCTTTCCATGTCTTTCTTATCCACTTAAATATCCAGTTTGACTCAATGAGTTCAATCTAGATCAAAAACAAGCTCCGAGTCCTACAAGATCCACTAAAATGTCCACCACGACGGCCACTTAGAAGGGTGTTATCAAAAAATAAGCTCAACATATTAGCTGCTGCAGCTCACGAAGCACGAGGATAAGAAATGATAACAGACAGTTTAAAAAAACAGAAACTTGAAAATGTTATTTTGAATAGGAAATCAGGATTTATTTGTTAAGATATCAGAGGCTCATCATAGGAAAATGTTGTCTTAATATGATAGGATGTTGAAGTTTTAGCCATAAAGGGCACGGAAACAGTAATAAGTTGGTTGGAGAGAAAAAAAATAAAACGAGATGGACAGAAATCTGATACCTTTGTGGAAAAAAATGGTGGAAAGAGGTTGGTTAATTTCCTTTTGCATATGAGACTCGAACTTTCTAAACGTACTGCGAATACTTCAGTGAAGCAAAGACAGAAAGTCGCTGACCTCAGAAGCTTTCTGACTTACCTCGTAGAAGATTTCGAACGCTCGAAATATTTCCTTAGCAAAAACATGTGTTTAGGAGGCATCCGACTGTGAAGCTACTTACTTCTACTACATTACAGAAAAAGATGATGTTCTCCACTTCGCAGATCAAAAGACATTTATTTATTTCGCTTGAACATATAAATATTGTGACAAAGGGGCACCAAATACATATGCGCCACACAAGAACAATAAGGCTGTAAAGAGATCGAGAATGTAAAGTGCGTGCAACAAAAAGGAGAACAACGAACAGAAATTAGTGTATGGGAGAGGCAGTACAGTTAGCAAAAGTACAACCAGAAAGAACTTCAGTTAAAGAAGTTGCGTCCATTTTTTATGGAGAAAGTTACCGCATAATCGCCACTGACTTCTATTCTGAGTTATGTCTGATAACGTCTCTAGACACTGTATTGCACCATCTCTAGGACCCCAGAAGATGGTTATGAATGATTGACAGAAGCCAGTCCTATACAGCCTTCTTTCATACCACAACACCACGTCGTACACTGACCACCTCTCCGCTTTTTCCAATTAGTCCCAGCGTCGGCAAATAATGCACGTGGGATTCTCTGGGACGACATGCGCAGAACATGTCCAAGCCACCGAAGTCGATGTTTCGAGGTAGTGATACTAACTTAACTATCGTCGCTGTGCCCGAACACATGATGTCGAGCCTCTGCATTACTAACATGGTGTTGCCACTGGATATCAGTAATTTTTCGGAGACAACGACGACCAAACACAGGGAATCGTCTAACATCCTCAACTCAGAGAGGCCAGGTTTCACAAACATAGAACAAAACTGCTCTCACCGATACGTTGTAGATCCGGCCTTTTACAGCCAGACTAACATCGCGAAGGCGCCAGAGACAGCCCCGATTAACATAGGCCGCTCTGGATTTCACTATACGTTAATTGATCTGATCACTCACGCCACCACCAGCACTTATGCAGCTACCCAGGTACACGAACTTCTCGACTACTATCTGCTCACTACCCCGGGTGAGTGCAGGATCAGGGTCCTTTCAGTTCAGATTACATGGCTTGAGTATCACCGCACAGTAAGGCAATATCATCCGCATCCTCAAGGTCGAAAAGTCATTCTCCACGCAACATATATCAACACCTCCATCATTTACATCCATCAGAGCTGTATCCAGGACTTCATCCATAGCAAAGCTGAAGAGAAATGGTAAGATTGGGCAACCCAGTCTAACCGCACTGCTTGAATGAAACAACGGACAAAAGTCGTTGTATGCCCTCACTCCACCTCATTTATTTGTATATAGACCTTTTGTGATGTTAATAAACTTCTCAGGCACACCCTTCTTTAATAGACACATTCGACAAGTATGAAAACTTGCTTGTTGCTCGCGAATCAAACTTCCTCGGGTTTTGAACAATCTACGAAGTATCACGGAAGACAGTAGTTTGGACGCAATCGAAAGTAGGCTTATCCCACAATAGTTGTTACAGGAACAAGGTGAACCCTTTTTAAAGATAGGGACAACTATCGACTCCCCCCATAATGCTGGAACACTCTGTAACTGCCAAACTTTTGTAAACAACTCAATCAGTTCCTGAATGAGAAATTCACCACAATCTCTAAATAGGGTCGGAGGTAAGTCATCTGGGTCTGGTGATGTGTAGCCATTCAAGAGTTGGAGTTCCTTGAGGACTTCTGCCTCATTTAGTGGATCAGTCATCACAGTCCGTGTAGGGTAGGACAGTCTGATTAATGTTGCTAGGGTACCAGACCAGTTGAACTGCCCCTCGAAAAACTTTGCCCATCGTTCAAGACGTCTATAGATGCTATTGACTGGCATCCCGTCATCTTCACAGATTGTTTCGCTAAAACCAAACTTTTTGCAGCCTGT